ACATAGTTACAATTCTTTTATTCCTGTGACCACTACCGTGTTAGTTCTTGTCACCCCAATATCTAGGACATAGTGTGTGTTGAATAAACCCTTGCCAAATGAATGGATTGTGAAAGGAAGATAGCGTATAAATGCAAATAACATTTCCTTTACCATTACTATGGGCCAGCTGTTTTAATACATGTTTTTCATTTAATCTTCACAATAACTTTATGAAGTCTTATTCCTGTATTAGCAAAAAGAAGCTAAAGTACAAAGAGGTTTACCCACTAAAGATCTTACTGCTAGTAAGCTGGTACTTAAACTCATGTCTCCAACTCTAAAACCCATCCCCTATCTGCCATACCATATTGTCTCTCCTACGAGCCAGTCATTTTATTTCGATACATGAATATTTAGTGTGTTTTCATATGGCGCAACATTCTGACAAGGGTTTGGCGTGTCACATCTCAGTTGAAAACTGTGAAATTAACTTTCTGTGCTCTCTGATTTAACTGAAGCCATGAGATGTATAAACAACAAAGTTGAAACCAAAAATATTTTGGTATTTGAGAATGTCCTTGACATTTAACATTAATTATCTATTAGGAGAAACAGACAAGTAGACGAGAGCAATCCTATATTATAGGCACTAGGAGAGAGTGGGGAACAATCTGGTGAGGTGCCTCCCGCAGACTAAGCTAACTAATATTTGAAGCACGAGTAGTTTTTTCCTAGTATGGTGCTACAGATGCTGAATGGCTTCCCCATGGGCAGCCACTGACCAGCATTCGTAGGCCCCTCGTGTACATAAACCCTGAGCCCACACCAGGAGTCCGCGGCAGCAACAGGTAAGGGAACTGTGTCAGGTTCAGAGACCAGAGGAGCCAGAATTAGGAATCAGGCCTGTAAGAGCAGCAGGCAAGTGAAAGAGCCACCCCAGGGGCTGACCAGAGCACAGCAGGATGGGGCTGAGCGTGTGGATATACTGGTGAGTGCCGTGCACAAGTGTGCCCATGGCCATGCGAGCTGGCGTGGGTTCACGTAGGAGGGACTTCTCCGCTGCCATGTAGAAAATCAGCCGGGAGGCCCAGAAGCTCCTGTAAGTCAGCATAGGTCTCTAGTATGAATGATATCCCATCATAAGGGGTGCAGACAACATACCAAACACCTATGTGCGTTGGCGCTGACTCCAGATACAATGACCTCTTTGCTGGTCCTCAAACATATAAAAAATGATCATGCCTCAGGGTCTTATACTTGCTTTCCTTCTTCCTGAAACGCTCTATCCAAATGGCTCACTCGCTCATTTCTTTCATGTCTGCTCATGGGTCACTTTATTGGGACGGACTTTCCTGACCACCGCATGTAAAACAGCAGACCTTGGCCCCTACCTCTTCTATCCTCCTTACCCTGCTCTATTTTTTTCCATAGTCCATTTCACTACCTGACATTTTTTTCTTTATTAACTGTCCCCTTCCATATGATTTATTAGGACAGAGACCTTATTTTACCCACTGAAGTTTCGTACTCAAAAATTATTTCTTGAATGAATGAGTAAATAAATTTTATTTTTATATCTCAAGCACCTGACATATAATGGACAGCCATATTATATGTATATAATATGTGACATAAATTAGTATTGAATACAGTAGTAAAATTTTGACCTGATTCTCTTTGTTAGAATAGCAGAGTCTTACAGAAGTTATCTATTATAGCATCCTATCCAGAGTAGGACTCTCCTGCCACATGCCTGACTCTCAGACTGTATCTGAACACTGAAGGGCAGGTCACTACTTCACAAGCTGGTCCGTTGTTGTGTTACAACAAAATTGACTGTCCTCAGAACTTCACTGAATGTACTTTAACCTGTTCCACTGAATGTCAGCTCTCTCAGTGCAGGAAGCTTGCCTGTCTTGCCCAGAGCCCAGCATAGAGTGGGTGCCCAAAACCATGTTATTGAAAGAATAAGCAAAAATTCACGTATTTTGAATGGCCTAGCTGGTGTGGCTCAGTTGATAGGGCATTGTCTCCCAGACCGAAAGATCATCAGTTTGATTCCCAGTCAGGGTAAGTGCCTAGGTTGCAGGTTCAGCTTCCTCATTAGTATATAGAAGGCAACCAACCAATCAATGTTTTTCTCTCTCATTGATGTTTCTTGCCCTCTCTTTCTCCCTCCCTCCCCCTCTCTCTAGAATCAAAAGTGAAATAAAATATTTTTTTAATTTATGTATTTTAGAGTAGGAAAATTAAAATATTTTTCTTTTAATTTTTTTACTTTGAAATTGGTGCTAATTCAGATGTAGCAATCATAAAATTATGCATTTTTACGTTAATTTGTATATCTGTGCCATATCAGGATTTTACACATGTCACGTCAAGCACTACAGGACCCTTGAGTATCCTGAGAGGACACAGGCACCGCAGGGAGCAGAGCCAGTGACTGGTCTGGGAAGAGAACCCTGGCTGCCCGCACAGCCTAGCCCACAGGCCTCCCAACACCCATTCCCATCTGCTGGGTATCAGCCTGGTAACACACATTTTGCCATCATTACTCTGTGTTTAAAATCCTTCGGTGGCTTTCCTATCTAATACAGGAGAAAATCCAAGCTTAGCCCAGCATATGAGGCCTTTCTCAGTTCACCCTTGCTGCTGCCACCCACCCCCTTCCCTACCCCAAGGGCTGGCCACCAGGAACCTCTTCTTTTGCAGTGACCAAGAGCACCCTGCTGTCATGCCTGCCTTTGCACTTGACCCTCCTCGCCGATCCCTCTGACCCACGGTGTCTGAGCCCAAATCAAAATTGCTGTTGCTGACGGGAACACAGATGGTCTTTTTCTCTAATTTTTTTTTCATAATGCATCAAAAATTCTGCTCCACCCTTCTTGTAGCGCATTTCATCTCAAATTGCGATTGTATATGCCTCTTCTCCACTCCTCTCCCTAGCATTCTGAGCTGTGGCCATGTTTTACTCATCTTCATGCGGTGCCAATAATAACAAAAAGAACGATGGCTTCCCTTCATGTGTCCTTTGTACTCCAGGCACCGTGGCGGAGGCCTTCCATACTTCTCTCAGACCTTCGAAGGAACTTCACAAGATTGGTGTGATTGCCATTTTCCATATAAACTGGGAAATGGGGGCTCCGAGGAGTTAAGTGGCCCACTCAGAGCACCAGTCTTGTGAATGTCCATCACGCTTCAAACTCAGGCCTGCCTGTGAGCGAAACCCATGTCTATTCCACTGCTATGCAGCACCAATGGCCTGTATCATGTTCCCCATGAAGAAAGTGCCAAACGTCCAATGTTTCCTGTATTCTTACCTTTTTTATGTCTCCAAGTGTAGTGGTGTTTTAAGTCTTAATTAAGAAAATGTTTAATTGCTATATGCAGATTCTAACACACACACACACACACACACACACACACACACACACACAGGATTGACCCTGTAATTTTTTAAAAGCTGAGCACCAGATTTGGTCACTCAGCACTGGTTCACTTAGGCTTCAGCCCAAGGAACAAAGAATTTTTGTAGTATAAATGCGTACTCTCATTTTTTTTCTCCCAATAGACAAACATCATTTTTAAAGTGCCTTAAAGTCTCTCGTTTGCTTGGCATTTCTGTCTGACTTTAGTAGCTCATCATAAACTGGTTGATGATATTTCATTTTATCCCAAATGTTGAAGAAAATGCCAGTCCTTGAGCATCATGCCATGGAACTGTAATAGTAAAAGCCCTCTGTGTTCCCCTGGTGATATTAAAGTGGGCTGAATAGCTAGTAAAAGTAGCTGGAAACCTTAGCAGTGCTTTATTTTAAGCATAAGAACACTTCTCATTATGGAATCATTTATGACTTCCAGATGTTTTTGTCTTTTTCATTTAATGATGGTATATTTGCTAAAATAAATTTCCAGTTATTCTCAAAGAAAATCTTTGGTACAGGTTAAGTGCTCTTTGAGAAATACATTTGAACAAACACTTTTGTTTATGAGGTTATGAAAGAGGGGAGACTGACAATGTTTGCATTTACAAGATATCAAAAGATCAAGGTAACAAAATTAATTTCAGTGCAATTTTCAGACCATAAAATCACTTAGCTAAAAGAGCAGCCTTTAGGGGAGGGTTTTGCTATCTTAGCCTGGTGTATGGTTGCCGCCAATGAGCAAAACCAAGTGTAGCCAACTATTTAATACTCAGAGTAGATGAATTGTAGGAAAACAAGTGTCAGTTGCATATTTGTAGATCTAAATTATGCATCACTGACTTCCCATCTCTTGGCTTTTAGTGTAAAAAATAAAAAAGTAAGTCGTGCTCCCTGTGTAATTCTGGCTCCTTTCCAGAGTCCGTATTCCTTACTGCTAGCTGAGATAAGATGCCAAACCTCTGTGCTGTTTAAATTTGCGCAACAATGCTTTAATACCCAGAGCTCCTCCATAAACAGTCTGTTCTCCCCACATTCAGGGAGAAAACAACCACAGGAAATCTGGGAATGTGCAGCACGCTCCGCTTAATTGATCTCAGTCTGCAGGGCCAGCAGGAGAGCACACGCGTCCGCAGCTCCTGGCCTTGCGGGACTGTTTACCCGAGGGGCAAAGAAGTCTGCGTGCGAGGACACCATGTTGCTTCCACAGCTGCAGCAGCAGCGGTAGTGGGATGGCTGTTGTTTACAGTCTGGAGAGCCATGCTCCTTTAAGGAAACACAAACTCCTTTCCCTCGTTCCTGGCCCCAATCAGTACTCATCAAGACTGTCAGCTGCCTGCAGTTGTCAGGAGGAGCAGCCCTCAGAAAGCATTTTCTCACAGAAGAAAAGTTAAAGGAGCGCAGATGGACGGTTGCTTTGTGCATGCAAGTGGCCAGCTAGTATCCAGGGGGCATCAGGCTATGATTCTGATTTCTGTACTGGGTGCATCAGCAGCTCTGGCGTGGGAGGTTTCATCCGGACAGAGTGGAATTGCTGCAGACATTTTTGGGGTTTGGTGAGCGGTAGATATTCGCGGACCTTGTGCTGTATTGCAGAGCCCCACGATGAAGATCCAGGAGCACCCCAGCATACCTGACACCAAGCTGCAGAGGACTCCAGATGCCGACGCCCAGCAGGAGAGCTTTGTCTCGGAAGTTCCCCAGCTGGACCTGACCGCATTGTGCGATGAGAGAAGCTGGGCAGGTAGGCTCGCCCGACCCTTGGAGGATTCAATAATGGAGACGCGTATATATATACATTAGCATAGACGAGAGGCTTGTAGCTGCGCTGACGTATGGGTGAGAGTGACAGCTGTGCTTGCAGAAGTAATTATGTTTCTAAACGACCGAAAATCCTTTCCCTGGCACAGGAATGTGTCATGCTAAGTGCTGCCAAGAGTAATTGCAGCCTAAGAAAGAAAATTGCTTGCCCTTTATCATAGTGTCACCTTGCAGTCCTTTTTTTTTTTCCCTTTGTAATTCACCAGGAACGCTGCTATGGGAATGCGTTTTCTCTGTAGCAGTACCAAGCAGGATCATGAGGAACTCGTATGCGTGTAGGATTGCATCTCAGTATAACCGACCGTCCACCCATTACGCGCCAGCCATTGACCTCCTTCATTAAATCTGCCCATTTTTCAGGGCTATTTTGGTTTGCTTTGCTTTGCTTCTACGACTGTTTTTATGGATAGACTTTTTAAAATCCAGGATAGCAAACATAAGGGACTTGCTTATTAAAGAGAAGACTGAATAAAAGTGCTTCTTATTGAATGCCTATAATAAGTGTTTCAGATTGGTTTTTCTAGAGATATTTAGCGAAAATGTTAGAAATATACTTGTAAGGAAGAGGAGGGTATCCTCTTGTGTCAAAGCCATATTTCAGGGAGGTTGGGGGATCAGTTTCATCAAGCTGCTATTCTTTTGCTATCCATGTGTCCGCATCCGAACACATATACATCAGTGTGGATCCAAAATAAATGCCCATCTGCCTTTATCCAGCCTGCGTTTGAAGGCTGCCGAGAGGGAGAATCATGCTCCTCAGTTCCGAGCGGCAGCGTGCTTAACACAATGACTTAGCAGAGAATCACGACTGTGAAAAAGCAGTCTTTTTCAAAAGTGCCTGGATATCCTTGTTTTCTCTCCTCCTCCCCCTCCCTTTTTTTTAAAACAAAAAAGTACTCGTTATGGTAATGATCTTAGATGAGGGACCAAAAGATGATCTAAAAAGAGCACAAGGTGAAAAAGAGCAACTCCTGGCTCCCAGGGCTCAGTGAAGGGAAAGCTGTTTTTTATTCCAGTTTTTCCTCTTTTCAATCTAAGTAACACGTTCTAGTTCTTTTCATGTATTTAGGCAGCGGGGCTGAGATTTTGTCAGATCTTCCACGCTCATGATAGATTCTCGGGGCCGGGCGGGGGCGGGGGCGGGGGCGGGCAGGTGCGGGGAGGGGAGGAATGAAAGGTTTTTGTTTTGTTTTTAATTTATGTAATACATTCCTTGTAGTGTTCTATTGTTCTTCTTTTGTTTTATGAAGTTTAAAATAGTCAGGTCTGTTTTTAATTCATACACTATAAACGCCACTTCCCCTCAAAACTATAGTACCATAGAAGCCACTGTTACCCAAATAAAAGGAAAAAGCAGTAGTCAAAACAAATGTTGTATTTGGGTTTCAATAATATTTTCTCCTTAGAACATTAACATAAAGCTCTAGATAAAAACTAGGATTTTTGGTGAGAATTCAAATTAGCCCCATTACCTTGATGATTTTATTCAGTAAAAAGGAAGGTAGATTCTTCCTCTTCCTCCTAAAATTAACTGTTTATTTTTATCTTAGTTAATTATAAATTTGTAATCTTTTCCAACACAGTTTAAAAGACAAAAAAAAAAGAAACAAAACCTGAAAATTTTCTCCACAGTCATTGAAAGTTAACTTATAGTTTCCTTAAAACTCTTTAATTACTAAATATAAAGAACTTTCTTCCAGATAAATAATAGTAACATGAGGGCATCAACATTTTTTGTTGTATTGGGAAACTGAACAGAATAAAGAAAAACCTTATTGGGGAAGAAGGCATTTCAATAAGCTTGGGAATGTAAGTTGTGTTACCCGTGTAATTTATGAAATTACATGCTTTAACTTTTTTTTTTTTACCAGTCACTACATTTGTCATTGAACTTACATATCTTAAAAATCTACATAGATTCATTTCAAGGTCATTTTGATCATTTGGTTACTGCTTTCAGTGGCCATTTTTTATCATATATTTATTTTAAATTCCAAATTACATTATAGCAATAACATAGCTATAATTACAGTCACAATAAAGAAATTTTTGCATAAAAGTGTAGTTAAGTGAGTGCAATAAATCTAATTACTAAAACATCATCTTTTTATAGGTTCAGTCAGAAACAAACAAAACGTGACTTTCCAGTAAGGAATAAACTCTGCACTAATTCAAACGATGAATGTGCAATCAGTGCAACGAATGTGTAAATGGAAGTAATAGCTATCAACACCATATGAGCCAATATTCATCTATACGACTCCACCACCAATCTCCAAGCCATCCTTGGAGTAACCCCACCTTTTTGGTTGGTTTGTTTCCTGTCGCCACATCATAATTCACACTCCCTCATTCATGTAGAATTGAAGAATACCAGGGGAGACAGCACTTAATGAGGGTCCCACTGGTCCCAGCCCCTGGGGGGTGTGCTCCCATGCGGAGATGGTGTTCTCTGGTTTCTAGGACATACTGTACCGGGAAAACAAAAAGCGAAATGAAACTAATAAATAAATTCCATAGGTTACATAGAGTGGAACCCTCTCAAAGTGAATGTAGGATCAGAGTCTAATCATGCTTGTTGGCAGATAAATAATACATGCTTACCCCATATGTAGCTGTGTATCAGGGCACCTTACTTGATCATCACCACCATCATCATCATCGCTGTTATTATTTCCACTCTCCAAAATTAAAAAAGTAAATCAAATGTACTATTCTTTATTTAAAGCCCATCCAAGTTGCATAATTAGAATATTCCTAATCAACCAATTCATACGTATTTGGAAGCATCCCTCTGTGGAAGCACTGAGATTTAAACACTAAGCCACTCTATTAGCTTTGTCCAGAAATAGTGGAATAAAATTAAGTTTAAAAGAACATTTTTTAGGCCCTGGATGGTTAGCTCAGTTGGTTAGAGCATCATCCCGATACCCCACGTTTGCGGGTTCAATCCCTTGTAAGGGTACATACAAGTCTCAACCAATGAATGCATAAAATAAGTGGAACAACAAATCAGTGTTTCTTAGTGTTTCTCTCTCCCTCTCTCCCTTTCTCTCTCTCACCAATAAATTTAAAAAGGAACATTTTTAAAGGGCATAAAACACTCCATATATTTTATTCATCACTTACTGCTTATTGAAAATATCTTTGGAAAGAAAATTCTCTCAAGCAATGATAGTGAAGGAGCAAGGGATCTTAAAGGTCTTCCAATTGAACCTTCCCATTATACAGATAAAGCTGAGACCAAAAGAGGCAAAAATGATGACACAAGGTAACAAAGTCTCTTGACTGCCCCCTGGATGCCTCTTTCTAAGCAGTGCCAGTTAGCTGTCCTGGCGGGCAGTGGACAAAAAAGATTAAAGCCAGACACATCCTATGTTCAAACCCTGGCTCCACTACTTAACCAACATTTTTTGTAAACATGTTTCAGTTTTGGCTTCAACTTCCCCATCTTTAAATAGGTATAACAGCCAGTAATAATAAATAATAGATATAGGAGTATCCACCGAGTAAGTTCGTTGCAAGGATTAAATGAGCTAATATATGCAAAGTGCTCAGCACATTGTGGGCACATAGATATCACTATGTAAATGTTAGTTGATGTCAGTATAGTACTATCTCCCATAAATGCTTCCAAGTATAGTTTGAGGGAAAACAGCCAAAGTTTGCCCTCTTTGAAACTAGAGCCCATTTCCATGTAATGACTTTGAATGGCTCTGAACACAGGACTCAGTAATTACTAGCTCCCCAACAGATTTGCCCAGGACTAATTAGGTCGTCCCCCAGCCCCGCCCTCTCTCTCTTCCTTTCTTCTTCTCTTTCTGACTCTGGAGTATGGAAACGGGACTGGTGACCAGCTTGGCAGGGATGTGGAAGGGATGGAAGACAGGCAGGCGGAATAGGGAATGAGGAACTGGTGAAGCAGCTCTAATTAAATGTGCAGATGGATGGGTCAAAGTCAGTAAGTCTCAGCCCTGTTCTAGTTCACACATTTATTAATTACTTAAATGAGGCTATTGCGGGCCTGCTTATTATATTGGTAAATAGGGTCAATGCAGGTATATGAAATTGAAGGGTTAAATTTGGATTGATAAAGTGGACAAATAAGGCTCCTTCTAACTCTGACAGTTTGCAAGGCTATTTGAACAATTTAATAGGACTACCAATATTCTGAGATTAAGTTTTGGAACACCAAAAAAAATTTTAATATAAGTGTTCCCCCAGTAAAGATCCTCCCTGTGGGGGCTGACATCTCTCTGTGTCTGGGATGTGCAATATCTTCTAGCACTTGAAACCAGTATGATGACATTATGGCAAGAAGTAATGACCCTAAATAACATAGAGTTGGAAATGAAATGTGGAAAACTTCAGCTCCCTTAATTCTGTGCAGATTTCATAGAAATAAGTCATCTCAAGAGCCAATTTTCTTTAGTGAAGTAAATGGACCCAGCCAGCTAAGCAGGCAGTAGCTGTGTCCCAGTGACCACATTAACATTAGTCAGGGCTCTGTCCCCTCTTTCTGCAGTGCTTTTCCTTTATTTCTGTGTGTGCTGTACTGTCTGAATAGGAATTCGCCCAGGAGCTATTCTTTTTTATTACTTAGGTAGCGAGCATACAGCTTTTACCTCTGTTATCTCTGACCTGCTGGGATGTCAGCTGACCTGGGCAGATTAATTTTTAATAGAGAGACATGCCGTGCTTATATCCAGAGTTCTTTGTGGCAAGACACATGGCTAAAATCAAAATCATGGCGCCCAGGGAATTCTGGTCTAGATATGGACACACATACATTTCCTATGGTCCTTTATGAATAAAATACAGTTTGGAGCCTCAAATCTTTTCTGTTTTCTCTGAAAAATTTTCTTATCATATCCTTGTCTGTTTTATTGCTCTAGAATTACTGGTTAAAATATAAAATATTTCCCAAACCAGCAACTGGGGATTGTCAGCAAATATATTCTAAAAACTGGCTCTCTCTGCAGGTCGTGCAATTGGGCGTAGTGTCATATACCACACTGTTCTTTGTGCTGCTTTCTCGTTTTTGTATTTGAGTGCCAACTATCAAAACATGAGATAGCCTTGTATTTTTAGATCATTTCAAAGTAAAACAGGAAGAGTTGGTTTTATTGACTCTTCAGTTATATTGAACTATGAAGTTACCTGTAACTTCATAACTCTTTTGAATAGGAGCCTTAAATTGTAAGACTGTATAGAGTAAAAGTAAACAGAGAAAAAGGAGAACTCATGTAAGCATTTCATGTTGCATAGGTCAGAAACTTCACCTCCATTCTACAGGAAGATTAATGATAAAACATATCTTTTTATTTTGTTAAGATTGAAATACATAATGGTTTTCCATTTCTCATTTTTTAAATAAGTGAATTTGCCCATCCTAACTGTATGCTTTAAAGGAAAATGTCACCCATAAGCTAGAATTTCTTTAGCTGTATATAGCATACATACCGCTGGTGGCACAAGGAAAATGACACATTTAGTGGAGGTGTCAGTAAAGGGGTTGGTCGAGAATGGTGCTACAAAATACAGTCATGCCAACCAAAAGAAAATAATATTCGAGGTCCTGTGTGAGCCGCAAAGCATCAAACAGGGATGGTTACATTCTGTGATTAGTATTTTATAGTCAATTCAGGTTCGTAATATATCTTTTACTGGAGATGTGTTTGGTTAATGGTGCACACGCACTCATTTTGCAAACAGAAACAGGATAGTAGAAAAATTCAAAGATTAGTTTGTGCCATTTTTAAAGAGATACTCTGCTAGATTGAGATGATTTAAAGGGCTTCAGGATCTTAGCATTTTCAAATTAAGTTTTGCTGAGTAGAAATGTCAAACTCGCCAGCGCACCCTCATGCCAATATCAACAGCAGACTTTGTTTGTCGTTGCCCGCCGTCCCGATAAGCCACCTTGCCCTTCCCCCTGGTTGTTTGCCCCTTTGCCCCTCTGAAGCGAGGTTATTGCCTGCTGCATGACCGTTCAAACCATCTTAACCCTTCCCCTGTCCTGGCCCCATTGACTTCAGTCCTTGCAGAAAATTACTGCTGTTTTATGAAACATCATGAAATAAAAGATGCAGTCTGGTCAGCTTAACGGTTCCATTTACTGCAACTAACATTACGTTTTTATCATTTTTTAGGGATTACTTTTCACTCTCCCTCTCCTCTCCTCCCCTCCCCTCTCCATCCATTTTTTAAATTTTATGTTGGCCGTTCTGAGCTGCTCATCTCTGAGCCCTGCCACTGAGGAGCCAGCTGATAGCTTTAGTACCAATGATGAAACACTGTGCGTGCGTCTCCAGTTTCAGCCAAATAAATGTACCAACATATTCTCTGCCGCTTTTTGAGACTCAGTGGGCAAGAGTCTGTCTTCAACTCTGTTTTCATTCTTTTCAAAATATTTATAGTATCGTCTGTGTTCCCAGATAATTTGGGTCCCTTTGAATCTTGAGAACCTATGGACCTCATTCCACATGAGGTTAATGGTGTGTTGTTGTTGTTCTTTTTTTTTTATTTATGTGCTTATCTCTTGCTACACAGTGGGGTCTTCAAAAATTTCAGGCAGTCATTCTTGTTATTGAAGCACCTGGCACATTCTAAATTAAAGCACTGTCCTAGAGTCAGGAGATTTAGTTTCTAGTCCCAGCTGTTGTCATTGATTAGGTATTTGCTCTTAACTTCTTTGGGTTTCAGTTTCCTTATCTGTAATCTGTTGGGCTGAATCAATGGTTCTCAAAAACTGGTTGCATTTAGTATCCCTTGTGCAGGTTTTAAAAGTGTGTGTGTGTATTTATATATCCGGGCCCTCATCTAAAAGTACTGTTTGATTGGGTGGTGTGAGGACCTGTACAGCAGGAAGAACTTACATGTCTCTGTGTGACTCTAAAGTGTAGCCAGGTGGAACAATCACTAGAGCAGATGTTGTATGAAGTTTCAATTAGCTCTAATGTTCTATGATTATAATATGGTCTTTTTAAATAAAATATCAAGTAAGCACTTGTTTAAGATAATTTTGTAGATTTTGTGAATATTCTGATAGCTGAGGGAATGATTGTTTCATGATTCAAACTGAGGGAATCTCAGAATTTAAAATCATGACCAAAACCTAGTCTTGTGTAAATCTCAGTAATCCACAAGTGTATTTAAAGCATAACTTCTTTTAATGCACAGAGTGTTAGAAATGAAGTGCCCTACCTCATTCCTTCCCAAAATCACAAATCAAGATTTGTACTGAGTTTTTTTTTCTTAAAGATTATCTCAGATTATTTATACAGATATGTCCTTTGTAAGATGTTATTCTTTTCTCTTTTTTTAACTAACTTATATATGCATCTTACTTTAACTGTACTCCTGAGCAACTTCTAAACTTTCCACTGCAAAGCATGCATCTTAAACATGCTAGTCCCAATACACTAAGCAGAAGCACACAAAACAGCCTACTAAACCTCAGCAGAAAGCGCAAACTCACACATGATTAATGTGATGCCTTAGCTAAAGTTCTATCCATTAATGGATGGATAGCCATGATGCTAAAAATTTGGTGATTCTGGTTGGGGCACAGTGTCCCTAGTCTCAACCTTAAAACTAAAATGAGAAGCCATCGTGGGCCTCCTAAATTCAGTGCCTCCTAATGCTTTCCGAAAACTTAGCAAACAGTTGTGCTTTAAAGAGCAATGTTGACCTCTTACCTTCGTTATTCTCCAGAGCCCACACCTACTTTGTCCTCATGGCAGCAGGAGAACATGGACTCTGACGAAGCGCGCCTCTCCCCGCAGGCGGGGCGCCTCATTCATCAGCTTCTGGATGAAGACAGCGACCCCCTGCTCTCTCCTCGGTTCTACGCTTATGGGCAGAGTAGGCAATACCTGGATGACACGGAAGTGCCTCCTTCTCCCCCAAATTCCCATTCTTTCATGAGGTATGTTTCTTTTCTTGCTAATAAGCAAATCCATCATCTTTAGGATAGTACAGCTTATGGCCAGTAATTTTTCTTAATTAAGTTGTAAGTCTGTGAAGGAACATATTTAAAGTTCTCCCTCCTAGGACACAGGCTCCATTGTATTTTTTCGGTTGAACTGTGGCCCAACTGCAGCATCACATACCAAATTTCCATTTGCACCTCCTTTCCTAAGCTCCCCCAAATTTAACTTTGAAGTCAGCAGCAGACCTTTTAATCCTAATTTTGCTAATTATAAGTGGAAACTAGAGAAGATCAGACCAATTTAATAGCTGGGACATAGAGAGCTCAAATCACAAAACCAATTAGTAGACAAATTTCTTTTATCCAGGAGCATGGAGACTGCTTGCACCCTCCCCATCCAAGCCTTATCCTCATGGCTTCCGCGCTCCACCCCCTACCCCCTGCCCCGCCCCCCGACACCGCCTGCCTGCTGGGGGAAGCTGACTCTAGTGTGCCCCTCACAGGCGACGGAGCTCCTCCCTGGGGTCCTATGATGATGAACATGAGGACCTGACACCTGCACAGCTCACGCGAAGGATTCAGAGTCTTAAAAAGAAGATCCGAAAGTTTGAAGACAGGTTTGAAGAAGAGAGGAAGTACAGAGTACGTGCCTCCTCACAGGGTTCTCTACGTCCCCTCCTCTCCCATATCAGCAACTCAGAGAAGTGATCAAGGTTAAGAGAGATTTCTAGGGAGTCTCAAAGCAAAAAGGCAATAAAAACTGGGTAGTAAATGCTGATAAACCCCAAACTTCATGTATCAGCCTTTCCTTACACAAATATATTCTTACAAAAAAAGTTGAACACTTTACTCTCCATTTTGTAAACTTATCAGTGAGCCAGAGTGAGAAAAATCATTAAATGAGTTCTTTGTTTGGCTACAACTTAACTCAACATTATCTTCTAAAATTTCGTTACTACTGACCTCATTCTACTCTCAGCTCTATCCTTAGTATCTCCTACAAGAATAGCAAAGAGGCCTTTTCAAGGCAGGTGCCGTGTGAACTGTCATATACCCTTCTGCTTTGTATTCTGTTAGCCTGACAGGTTGAATCCTACAAGTAATGGAAACGGGGCCATCTATGGACCTCATGCAAGTCCATGATCATAAAAAATCCAGCATTTTGCCTCTGAGAAATTCTTTAAAAATATCAAAAATAACCACATGAAAAGAAGGATAATGGAATTAAACTAGTGAAGTTTGTCCTAACTGGTCATGGTTGATTTTTTATTCCAATAGGATTCAATGTTTCTTTCCTGTTTAAAACAAACTGAGCATCAGATGCTTCTTTTTCCTGCCCCAATTCCAAAACATTTACCTTAGCTTTCCTTTTCTCAGCCCTCCCACAGCGACAAGGCAGCCAACCCAGAGGTTCTGAAATGGACAAATGACCTTGCAAAATTTCGGAAACAACTAAAAGGTAGGTAAAGCTCTAGACCGATGGCATAGTGTCTCTAAAACTAGCCAGGTGCAGAACCCATGATCTCATCTCATGCCAAGCCCCACTGCTAAAATATCGCAGACAGGCTCCTTAAAGCTGCTTCCCAGTGCTCTAAGAATTCAGGGGACACCTTCTCTGTGTCTTCTCCTGGTCCCAGTCACAGGGTAACCCAGATTAGCTAAAATGCAAATTCTGTAGCACTTTCCTAAATCACAAATAGGATGATGGTTTCAATTCAATAGTCACTAAGTAACTGTTTAATCCAAGGCTCTATCTCCTGTGGTGTAAGAAGGCACAGAGACGCAAAGATGAATATGAAAAGGATTTAGTCCCTGTCCATCAAAGAGTTTGCTGAATTTTAGGGGAAAGAGTCATTTAAACAACTAAATTGAATACAAGTTAAAAATAATTCCAAAATGAGGTACACAAGTCATACAGAAATGGTTGGCCAGCAGTTGGGCACTAGATTCGTAAATACCTTTAAACACTGAGGGAATAAGTATGGGAAGACATCTGCCACATTCTGAACAGGTTGGTGTGGCGAAGGTATGGATGTTAAATAAAATAACTAAAGCTTTCTCGGGAATAAGCATTAGGGAAACTGTCCAGATAATCCAGGGACATTATCATTTTCTTGGGTTTTATATAATAACCCAGGGATTTCAACTAATGTTATAATTAGACACTTGCTAAAAAATAAGACGGGGCTAAGTAGTTATTAACATCATAGAAACACAATTTGGGTTCTGCAGACGTCAATTCTCATATGTCTCCGCCCCCAAATCTTTTTGACTAGAATCCAAACTAAAGATATCTGAAGAGGACCTAACCCCCAGGATGCGGCAGCGAAGCAACACACTCCCCAAGAGTTTCGGTTCCCAACTGGAGAAAGAAGAGGAGAAGAAGCAAGAGGTGGTAGACAAAGCAATAAAGCCCAGCGTTGAAGCCACGTTGGAATCTATCCAAAGGAAGCTCCAGGAAAAGCGGGCGGAAACCAGCCGTCCTGAGGACATTAAGGTGTGATGATGATTCGGTGAACGCCCCAAACTAACCGCTAATCCCAAACCGTTCCAGTTAACATGGTAGAAACAAAGGACTGCCACATGGATCCCAATGGGAAAAGTGATGGAGCGACACCTTTTAAAACCTCCCACACCCTCGTCTTCCATACCGTTAGATGTCTAGAGACGCAGATGAAACAACTTCAGAGTGTTTTAACTGTAGCCACCTTGATTTTTGACTTAAAATTAAAAGCAGCAAACTCCTGTACAGATTTCAGAATGAACTTGTTTAGCTTAATACACAGTTTGGTGACTCTTTGAGGTGGAAGAATCGTTAGGGGCATTTGAGGCAATTTGTTACTGAACAAACCTTTGGGACTATGTAACCTGTAACTGTAGTTATCGCTTGGGCCATTAAGTTAAGCTTCATGTGTTTCACAGCCTTGCTTACCTCAGTAGTCAGCATGCCTTTGCTGCTGCAAGAAAGTTGGTGAAGACTCTGCTGTGCTCTCAGTATCCTAACAAGAGGTCAAGAATAGCTCATTCCTAACTGAGCTTTGCATATAGCTAGGAGGAGCTTTTGTGTGAGGATTCTTTTTAGTCTTTCTTTGTTGTTGTTTAAAAAAAAAAGAAGTTGGAATGTCCACCAGTGTTTCCCCTTTTCATTTCTCTATCCTTGTGTTTACACAGGACATGACCAAAGACCAGATTGCTAATGAGAAAGTGGCTCTGCAAAAAGCCCTGTTATATTATGAAAGCATTCATGGACGGCCGGTATGTGAATGTACTGAATTTTGTTTCTGATTGAGGTAGATCGTCTTGCTTTAGAAATGGATCTTCTGTGTTCAGGATTTTGCAAATAAGATTCCCTGATGCTTAGCAGATTATTATGTTTTCACCAAAACTAAGCTTTCTGAAGGCTAAACCTGGGATAAGACTGTCATTACCTAGTAGAAACTGAATTTGAGTCCCAAGGAAAAATTAGTTTGCAACTAAAATGTAGTCACTAATGTCCTGCCTCAAGGGGAGAATAGTGGAGGGGGTATAAATTGGTGCACAGCGCCCCAGAGCGAGGAGACTTCCCTGTCCCTAGGTCTGCCTCCATAAGCAGACACTGGCTCTAGGCATTCTTATCCCTGAAATAAATGTACTTAGCTAGAATAATCTGCCCTAAAATTCAGTCTCTCTACAGTGCAGTTGCAACTAGGGTTTGTCCACAGAGAAGTTCCAGCTGCCCTCCAGAAACAAAAGTGTGAGGAATCCAAAATATGGCTTAGCTTTTTCATAACAAGGAGCACTGGAGGCAATTCATTATTCAGCAACCGTTTAATTGAATGCTTGTTGTTAGCCTGGGGAAAAGCAGTAGCATGATAGGCTTCTTTCTTCCCTAAGGAACTTATAATCAAATATCCATGTCAGTTACTCTTAGTAACCTGTTCAGAATGTTGTCAGGAAGCCAATAAAACAAATTCTTAAGAGCTGGTGTAAAAAAGCATGAAGTTTATGTTCACAGAAGGGCTTTTTATATAGCCTAAAAACCCCTAGCATTTCTTTTCCAATTTCAGCATAGCTATATAATGGAGATAGTCTTTTCATCTAAAATAGGCTATTTTAAATAAAGAGGCTTCCAGAATAATGCACTAGATCTGTGAGAGCAGAGATGCTGGGTTTTGTGAACCTCATCCTCAGCAAGTAGCCCAAGGCCTGCCACGGCATGTGCCCAGTAAACTGTCTGTAGCATGCCTCTTCCATGGCGTTTGGTTCTGAATTTGTCAGGGTTAAGTTTAAAAAAGAAGAAGCTAGGGCTGATGATGATTGATTTTGCTGGCCTGTCCCTGCAGTGGAAAAATACTGTCGCTTTGGGATATTGGTCATGTTTCAAGCCAAGTTTTTTTTCCCAAGCCAAGTTTTGTTTTGGATTTTTAAAGGCATTGAACCAAATAGTGAATGCAGTGGAGCTCACATATATTGTGAAACTTTGTCCTTCTGGACTGAAGTATTCAGAACTTGCAGAGTTCAAACTGAACTTCTAACAGTAGGTTCAGAGCCTTTAAGTATCTCCTCATGGCCACCAAACAGTCCCAAGGTGAAGGAGGTGGGACTTGCATGTTTTCCTTCTTCTTATTGTATGGATTCATGTTGTGACATTGATAGACTCCTGCAGACTTCCTTGCCTGAGGCCCCGAGATCTCTGAGCTGTGTTCTAGACCTAACCTTAAACCAGTCCAGGCAGTTGCAGGCCATGGCATTTGTTGCTCTGAGTTGGGTACAGACTCTCGTTCTGCCCGGACTGTGGCAATGTGCAGGCACAAGGATCAGCAGACCTACATTCAGGACACAGCTCTACTGAGACTGGCTCTGTGACTTTGGGCTACTTAGGTAACTCCTCAGAACCTCAGGGCTTTGCCTGTGTAAAAGATGTCTGACATAGGTTGTCCTGGAGACGAAATGACATTACAGACACACATTTATCTGTACGGTGGCTGGCACTGAGGAAGTTGGGCATAGTCGCTTTGTAGGGAGTAGGGGGGACTGCCACGTAAATGATAGTTGTCACTTCTGTTACAGTTACATGCTCTGCTCACTGTGGCCTACTTCTTAAATGATTGAATCAGGAGAAAGAATACACATTTTTAGCACTCTTATAATTAGGAATATGAAATATTAGGTTTTGGCCCTGTCTTTCTATTACCCTTTCTTTTATCAGCCTTTCCGATGAAGGAAGGACACCTTTTTGGGTCAGATTCTAGCATCTCATGGGTCAGGGAACAAATGCTCTGGGGAGCTTGAATGTCATTTATTCCTGGTCCCGGGTCAGGCTCTCTGCCTCTCTCTCTGGAACATGGTGCTGCGGCCTCAGAAAAAGCAGAGTCCATTTGATATCTGGCCAGTCTAAAAATCAGAGTGAGCATTTCATTCTCAGATCCATAGTGTTGTCATGGACCCTGGACTGTAAATAACATTTGAGCAACACTCTTCTTAAAAGAAACGCTCATGTACTTCCAACACTAAACTATCATTCCAAACCCGTTTTTTTAGAAAAACAGGTGCTCATAGTTTGTGAATTTTTGCTGAGTCTGAAGATCCTGATTTAAAAGGACACTAACTCCAAATCACAGGCGAGAACAAGTATCTGCCAATTCTGTAGATTTTTTTAAGAAGGCTGTTTGCTTTAATGGGGCACTGTGCAGACAGAGTGACATTTATCAAGAACAGAAACACACTCATGTACACACTGGCACATATTCCCTACTAATTTTTATTTAAGTGTGTCTTTTTCAACACTTACGGATGTCATCAGAAGACGATGTCACAGAGACAAGCGCCACAGTGCTGCAGCTCCCTGTATTGCCTTCCTCGTATTCCGCGGCTTGATGACAGTGTAGAGGGGAGAGCACAGGTTGCTTGCTCAGAGCTTCTGGGCTGAGTCTCTTCCTCAGTGGTATATTTTAACCTTATGTTTTAAAACCTGGGGAACTCACACGATACTGAACATATCATGTTAAATTTAAATGCAAATTCTAAAGCCATATATAAATACTCTCCTCTGGTTAACTGCTGTTTGGGATTATCGGGTTTTTGTGCAGTCAGCCTACTATCCTTACCTGATAATGAAGAAGAGAGAGCTGCCATTTTCCAATCTGTGACCCAAGATCCAAAATGCAGCAGTGATACGAATCTGTCTTATCTGTCTTCTCCTGCTAGCAGTTTATGACTCAGATGTATCCATCCACACATTCAAAGGCCTATTCTTAGTTAGTAGCAGAATCCCTGATGACTGATGACTCAAGAGTAAGAGCGTCAACCTCCAGACAGTTTTCCCATGGCCCGCTTAGCTTCAGCCTGCCCTTTTGTGACAGTTTAGCCAAAATCCTGCTTTGTTTATCTAACTATTGGTTAGTTTTTGGCTCTGCTCAAAATCCAGCACAGACAATTGCAGATAGGAGAAACCTGTATTAACTCGCAGTATAAACAACCTTTTGGCCTCAGATACATATTGTGAAAATAATTCTCATATACTCTCCACATCTCAAACTTAAAGATCTTTGATATTTTTGGTGTTTGGATACTTCTATCAAAGACCAATGTTAGCTTTGGTGGAATCAGGATGAGTTTTAACTCTCCAGAGTCAAAAATTTAATTAGATCATTTGCAGGTGATTAGTTCCTGTAAGTCATTAGTTTAAAACATGAGCAATTCATAGGTAATTTATATGTCAGTGTCGTGAGCCAAAGAATTAAGCCAGTGATCCTCTTCATGTACTCACCTAGAAATTTTTTTTAAAGATTTATTTATTTTTAGAAAGAGGGGAAGGGAAGGAGAAAGAGAGGGAGAGAAATGCCAATGTGTGGTGCCTCTCGTGTGCCCCCAAATGGGGACCTGGCCCACAGACCAGGCATGTGCCCTGACTGGGAATCAAACCCGCAACGCTTTGTTTGGCAGGCTGGCACTCAATCCATTGAGCCACATCAGCTACGGCGAAATTTTGGTTTTCCAACGAAAATTTAGAAAGGAAGTTGGTTTCTGTCAAATTTGCTGTATCTGGCTGATTTTACCAGCCAACTCTTCTATAAACCAAAGATATTTCTGCCAGCAACTGGTAACTGGAGGCTAGTCCACAACAGGAAAATGCTGGCTCCTCCTCTCTTGTTTTTCATTTTTAGTATGTCTTTTAGCCACTAAACCATCTATTGTTTACCTTGCACATTAGATCACACCACGTGTCATGTGCTGACAATTAAGAGGTGGCTTAACCTTATCTGCAACACATTTAGTGGATACATCTTGTTTTGGAAAAAACGGTTCCATGTGGTGCAGTCCTAACTTCTGTCATCTTACATGTGAAATTGTACTAGTCACTCCATTTCTGTTCATACTTATTTGTGGATGTTGTTTAACTGTCCTTAAAAGATAACATAAATACAGAAAAGAGCCCAGATTATAAGTATACGTCTTCATGAATTTTCATGAAGTAAACATATCCAGATGATCAGCATCCAGATCAAGAAACAAAACATTACCACCACCATCGCCCCCAGGAACCTCACCTGTGTCCCCTTCCCATCCATAGCGAGATCTCCTGCCCCATCAGGGAAAACCATTGTCTTGACTTCTAACACTATAGATTGGATTTGCTTATTTTTGAACTTTTTATAAGTGGAATCTTACAAATATGTGTTCTTTGGCATCTGGCGTATTTTACTCAGGTTTACTTTTGTGAGATTAACTCAAGATGTTGCATAGAGCTTATTCATTCATTCACATTGCTGTGTGGTACACATACCTTATTTGTTCCCCATATGGATGGTTTCCAGTTTGGAGCAATAAAAAGTGTTGCTGTGATCATTCTCATGTGTGTCTTTTGGTGAATGCATGTATTCGTTTGGTATATATGCTTAGAATAGAATTGGGTCACATGTGCACTTCAGTAGATACTGCCTAACAGCTCCCCAAAGATATCCGCCTTCTTCAGCAGTGAGGGTTCCAGTTGTCCAGCATTCCCACTGGCGCTTGACACTGTCTTTTCACTTCAGCCATTGTGGTAGGTGTATAGTAGTCACACCTGTCATTTGTTCCTCAGTTTTTTTAATATATAAAATAATTTCCAAGTTTACTTCTACTTTTGACAGTCATTTTTTAATGAAATGGTGATTGAAAACCCCTTTTGGTATGGTAGAAACAGGAAAATGCCATCCTCCACTTAATGCTGTGATAATAGGAGGGGATAGAAATACTCGATTGCTATTATTGCTGACGATAGAAAATAAATTAATAAAATGTTATTGCATACTGACGGGATCCTATACTAGCTTCTGAAGTTTATCCAAAGTTCATATATTGTTGATAGCTTTGAGAAAGGCAAATAAAAAGGCAACAACAAAGGATAATTCACGTATGCATAATCCAGAGTTGTCTTCAAAGCTGATGGCCCAAAAAGCCCATAAAAGAAATGATCAAAGCTCATACTACCTGGCCTTCCTTACCTCTGTAACTCTTGCCTCATTATGTGTACAATGGAAATAAAATGCCAAAGACAAACAGGATTTCTTGCAACAGACACTTCATCTCATTCACCATTTAAGTAAACAGGGGAAATGCATGCATAGTTATGAATTGGGCATACCAATTATGTTTGAAATATTTGTTCACTCATTTTGCAGATATTTATGGAACATTTCTTTTATCTCACGCACTGAAATAGTTGTCAGGGACATAAAAGCACAAACTGCTGCTTTCACGGGGCATATAGTCTAAAGAGGAGACAGATATGTCAACAAATAGCCACTAAAGAGTATAAAAATGTATCAGCCACTGGAGCTTCTATAACAGAATATGATAGAACTGGGTGGCTTATACACAACAGAAATTTATTTCTCAGAGTTCTGGAGGCTGGGAAGTCCCCAAAGTATGAGCTGATTCTGTGTCTGTGAGCAGGTTCAGTGCCTGGCGAGGGCCCTCTTCCAGGTTCATAGACGGCTGTCTTTCTGTCCTCCCATGGCAGAAGGGGGCCAGGGAGCACTAGGGGTATTGTTTATAAGGACACTAATCCCATTCATGGGATTACACCCTCATGACCTAATCACCTCTCAAAGGCCCCACCTCCAAATAACATTACATCGGGAATTAGGTTTTGACATAAGAATATTGGGTCACACATACATTCAGCATATAGCAAAGCATATGCAAAATTACAAGATGTGCAGTAGGTGACGCAAAGGAGAGAATGAGCAGGTCTCCCAGAATGGAGATGTCGGGGAAAGGCTGGAGAGGAGGGGTGGCTCTTGGTCTATAATTTGCCAAACCAGAGAGATTCCAAGGCAGAGAGAACTAGACAAGGACATATGAGACAACCTAGTCTATCTCTGGAGCTCTGAGGTATGAAAGGGAGAAAAAGCAGCAGATGATGAGAACTTTAAATACCATATCAAATACTCTACCAAAGAGTAGGGCTTGATTCCTCCCCACTGCCCAAAGACTTGGTCATTTAAACCTGTCTGCACACTGTGCCAGATTTTAGGTATACAGAGATGAATCATTCCAGTATATTATATCAGCAGGTGTTCCTTGAATGCCTACTGTTGGCCAGAGTCTTGCCCTTAAGAACAAAATAATTCATTGAGGAAACAGATGTGTAAAAATTTTTTGATTACAATACTTTGTGATAAGTATTATACTAGAAATGCATGTTTTCTTCTTCCTTGGACTTAGAAATAGTCAATTGTCTGGGAACTCTGAATCTCAAGCAGTTTGAAACGGAACTAGTAATCATCATAATTTTGATTTAGGAAATACAAGACTGCTAATGGAGTGATTTCCAGTGTGATCTACAGCTAAAGTAGATTATTTTAAACATCGACTGAATAGTTATCAGTTTTAATAAATTTTGTGAAAATAATGAGACTTCATTTGAATCATCTGTACTTTCTCGAGGTCCAGAGCATGCGGGGACAGCTCGTACCCTGACCACCAGGAGCAGGCTTCTCAGCTGCCTTGTCTTGCTTTTACAGGTAACCAAAAATGAACGTCAGGTTATGAAGCCGCTATATGACAGGTACCGGCTGGTCAAACAGATCCTGTCCCGAGCGAACACCATTCCCATCATTGTGAGTTCACAACTTCTCTGTTAATTACCTGGATGAATGGTCCCTGGTTGTTAATAGGGCCCTAGCCTGCTTTCTTGTGAAAGGATAGGCTTTAATAGTTGAATGTACCATTACTATCTATGGCCCATAAGCTTGAGGAATGAAAAATTTATCAGAGACTTCTGAGGCTGTAATTGTCAAAAACTGAGCAAACCTGAAGCGGGTAGGAATTTTTTTTTCTTTTGGGAGTCATGATGTGGCCATATACATCCACCTGACACATGCTGGGCTGACTCTCCCACCCTCTCCTCAGAGACAGCACCAGGGGAACAATGCTTGCTCCAGGCCTCTCCAGGCCAGAGTGCCTCTGGTCCCAAGGGCCCTCCGTCAGCAGCCTTCTCTCCCCCTCCAGGAGGGGATAAGCCCTTCGGGATTCATATCTAGGGGGAAACCCGCTAAGGACCTTCCAAGAGCAAGACTCCTCTCTCGGGGGGATGTAGAGAAGGGCAAGGTCGGAAGGGAGGGAGGATAATGAAGATTGTGAAGGTGCTTTCAGAAGCCACCATCCTTGGACTTAGCCACTTTTGGCCTCTGAGTTTTTATTTTTTCAAGAGCAGAGAGCAGCCACTTGCCCTTACTTCTGGACAGGCCTTTCAGGATGGCCAGCTTGCTCTCCCGCTCCCTCCCCGCCCCATGAGTGCAGGCTGAATCCTGGTCCATCTCCTGGGGACTTGGTTGCCTCTGTTTCAGTTGCCTCTGTCTCATCTCCAGAGACCTGAAGGCTTCCCCTGCTGGCCTGAGGCTTTTTTAGTAAGCACACAGCCTCCCATATGTTGTTGTTAAATGCATATTCACCTGAGCGGTTGCTCTTCTAGCCCTGCTTTAAATCTTCTTGTTTATTTCTAGACCTAAGCTATGGTCTTGAAATGTCTTTTCACAGTGTAACTTGTTCATGTGAATGAGGGAAGGCCCGGCAACCGCAGGCAGGTGTGTCTGAAGAACACTCCCTTTCTAGAAATTTCCTGGAGAATAAATTAGTAACTAAGCAATACAAGGATTAAATATAAGGAGTTTTTTTGTTCTTCAGTTAGGAACACTTAGTGTCCCTAAACAAGGTGAATGGACGAAGAGGAAAGTCAGAAAACCTTTGTATCAATTGATGAGCTGACGTTACTGTAGTTCAAGCGTTCCTGTTGTGACTGTGATTGGGGCAAAAAAAGGCGGGAAGGGAGGTGCTTCTCCTCAGATTTTTCCCTGCGTGTTTGGCTAATGTATTTGTATGTTGTCCTTGCTTTCATGTGAGCTCCTTGGTTTGGAGTAGGGGAGGGGGGAGATTCTGAAGTAAAAAACAACTTGAAAAGATCTTTGGTTTCTGCTGGTTTTCCAGAGGATTTTTGGCGGCAAGGGGTTAGAGCGCATCACTAAAAGGCAGTAATAGATACTGGTGGGGCAGAGGAGGTGGAGAGCTGGCGCAAAGGGGAAGGGGTTCTCAATGTAACCTACTTGTTAACACCTGTCGCAGGGTTCCCCCTCCAGCAAGCGGAGAAGCCCTTTGCTGCAGCCCATTATCGAGGGTGAAACTGCTTCCTTCTTCAAGGAGATAAAGGTGAAGACCTCCAGCTGCTAACCTCTTGCCAAATCCCTCAGGTTTCCTCCCTTTCTCCTGGGAACGGAAAGGGTTGTGACTGGGCCCTTCCACGATGGCTTCTTGCGGCATTCCCTAAAAATCTGCACATAACCAACATGAACAGTCCTTTTTTATTTGTATTATATATGAGCTGATTTCCTTAGTTTCATTCCTTCCCCTGCTTTTTATTGATGTTGAGTTTGTTGTTATTTGTTTTCAGGGATGATACTTTTGTTTCGACAATGTCTTTTTGTTTTGGGTTTTTCCCCCTATTTGGAGAATCATTTTTTCTAGATTTCAAAATTTTATTAAATTAGCTCATTGCATAATTTTTTTTGAAAAATCTCATTTATTGAGTTTACAGAAAAACCAAAATTAAAGGCAATATGAAAACACACAATAAAAATGATCATTTTATAGACAAATATCATAGTTGCCTTTGACCGATTCGCTGGTTCAGTCTGCCCCAGTCTTCCTTAATCTTCCCTTTCCCCAACACTTGTTGTCCTCAGGACTTGTTTTATAACCTGTTCTTCATCAGTGAATGTGGTGCTGTGACCGGCAGTCACTAGAACATAGGCTTGGATTTATTTCCCAAGTAATTGTGGACTTTATACAAATAATCCTTGTTCTCATTGTCTGCTTTTGCTAGAATGGGAGGTATCATCTGTGCCCATAGATCTCTGTGTCTCTGTAGGGACCTAATTGACCTGGACTAGGATCAACCTCTTTCGTGTTTTTGTTTCTAGACAACTGATCAAACTGGATGGCCTTATGCAGGCTCTAGAGGTGAAAAGTCAACATCAATCTCTCTCTCCTTTTTTTTTTTTTAATCTGTAATTGTTTAAGGTGTAAGGGGGAATAAAACCCAAAACAGAAGTGAGTTTTAAGAGTTTGCCTTGTCCTATTTCTGTGAAAGTTCCAAGCCTGGGGTGGTCATTCATTTACTGTAGTTAGGAAAGATTACTTCAGAATATGGTGACCTCGTTCCCACAAAGGGGTGCCAGCTAAGAACGGCTCCATTTTCTCTCCAGATGCTCATTATAACTGATGTAAGGTACCCGAAGTTACACAGGTTTCTCTTTCATTTACTTTATTCCTTTTCTTATCTCGCAAGAGTCTTAATACTTATACACCTAATTTTAAGGTAGTAGGCAATGATTGTGCTCACTATTCATATTATTCTAAATAGACTTTATGAAAATGCTCTAAATGTGCAATTTAGGTGATTATGCTATATTATATCTCAAAAACTAGAGCTGTTGTCTTACAGTAAGACTTGACGAAAGAAGACACATGTTGCCTGGCTGGTAATTTCACACAAAAATCAAATCATTAAAATTGAAGAAAGTTGGATAGTTGTATGTATGAAAATTAACGTATTTCTCTTAGAATCATGCAATAGAATTCTTACTAAAAATGTATTTTTAACACATCCAAAATATGTCACTTAGTAATTGCCTCATGAAATGAATGGAAGACATATTAATGACGCTCTTTTTAAAAGAGGACGTTCTTCCAAATGTCATCCTTTAGCTTAGTTTATTTCTCTCACAAGTATATTTTGGCCATGGCTCTTCTGCTGGCCCATTTGGTGGTCAAAATTTCAGATAATTTTGCGATGATTACATTGCTTTTGTAAATAACCCGTCTTTTAGTTCATTTTGTTCCAGTTGGCTATACTTACTAGCATGTAGTTGGATTGCACTAATTCTTGGCAATTGTGATACAATTTAGAAGTCGGTATGTGTGCAGATAAGAAGATTGTATCTAAGTGTTTTTTGTTGTTTTTTTTTTTTGTTTAACCGCCCCTAGTTTAAATGTTTGTGGGAAGAAACCAGCTGTGTATGAACTAGAGCCAGCTCCAGCTCCGAGGCCCTAACTCTTCCAGGCCCGAAATCCGAAAGGCCATCTAGTCTGTTCTCCAATCCAACATAAAAATTTCCTCTAAAACTTCACTGACAGACTAGAGACACCGTCTCTAAGAGTCTATCTTTAAGCTTGACAAGTTTACAGCAGTAAAATAAAATACAATATAATTATGTAATATGTAATTTTTAAATGTATAGGTTTGATAACTATGTAGCAATTAATGAACATAAGTAAAAATTATATTCATAGTTATAATTAATGTATTACTTTCTACTTAATATGCTTGGTTTTGCTCTCCGAAATGCCATGGAATAAGCACAGTGCTTCTTGCACTCTGTATATTTGCAGTCTTCTGACCTGCCCCCTTCCACCCACATGCTGTGAAAATTTTTTCTCCATATTCTTCCTACTATGGGTTCCAATGACATGGGTTCCAGACCAGCCAGCAGTCTAGTGGCTCTGCTGTATATGCACACACAAATTTATCCATATCCTTCTTAAAAACTGATACGCAGAACTATTCACTAGTCTAGATGTAGTAGAGCCAGCAAGGCAAAGGACCCGGGACTCGCCCTGACCTCGATCTGGAGCAGGGAGGCCCTTCCGTTCTACAGGTCTGTGACTACATGGCTGTCAGTGTGTCGTGGGGATGTTCGGCTTTAGCACTGTACTCATGTGGGGCCAGATATTCGTATTTTGCCATGTATAGTGCACTTTTTTGCCCAAATTTTTGAGGGAAAAATAAGGACGTGCATTATACATGGGTAGTACTAATTCCATATCTACATAAATGTTTTTAATTCTTTTATTTATGCTTATGCATTAAAAGTTTAACTCTAGAAAACAATAACAATATCCCTATGTTCAAAAATAAATGCTAGAAGTCCTTTATAACACACAAAAAAACAAGAATCTCAATATAAGTAAATAAAGAATTGATTTAAAAAATTGAAACAAATGATTTTTTTTTCCTGAAAGTTTGGGCCAAAAACATGGGTGCACATTATACATGGCAAAATACGGTAACTCTTTGTTGTGGGGGGCTGGTCTCCATTTCACTAGATGCCGGTAGCTGCACTACAACCACCCTCTCCCCAGCTGTGCCCACCAAAAATGCTTCCAGACATTTCCAAAGGTCTCCTGAGGGGCTAACTCACCCCAGTTGAGAAGCAGTGATTGTGACCCTGTCTCGTTGTTGATTTATGCAATACCCCGCTTCCTTTCCCATGGATTGCTTATTGTCTATGTGTCCAGCTTTTTTTCCCTAACCTAATTATAGGACCTTGAGTTTCCCAGTTAGTTATTTTGCATACTTCTATTCCAGCCTTATGAAATAGAGTAAATCTAGATTTTGTATTCCAACATAGCGGCTATCCCCACCCGCTCTATATTGCCTACACATTTGGTAAATAGACCTTTTGTGTCTGTATCTAAGTGACTGGTAAATAATGAGTAAGGTAGAGTCCGGTAAAGAGCCTGCTATAGGCTTTTCTCTCCCCAGAACCACGCCCCACCGTGTCGTCATTCTGCAGATTTCTCACAACCAGCTTCCTTCAGTAGCTCAGCTCGCCTCATTCTTTATTGAAATCCAGATATCACACCAATCCTGTCAAACAAGGGAAAACAGTTAGCTTTCATGATTTGTTTTTCAGGAGCCAGTGCTCATCACTGTTGAGCACTATTTCTTTATCAGTTGCTCATACTGTCTATGGATTGATTACTTTTAGAATCTACCCAATATTCACAGCAACCTGCTGGTCTTATAATTTGAGGATCTATTTTGCTATTTATTTTTTTTCCTATGATTTTCACAGCTTACTGAAAATAAGTTTTTTTACCTTCATCTCAAAAACCCTTGAGTTATCACTATATGCAAAACCCATTCTCATATTTTTAAGTTCTCTCAGAACCACAGGATGTAGTCGAGAAGGAATACACACCTGAATTCCTTTCTTACGTGTCTCGAGCTTTAAAACTCTCTTAACAGTAGTTTGTATTTCTCTTTTAAAACTAAATTACTAGACTGTTTGACAGACATTTTTTGAGCACCTACTATTCGTGGGCATTGGCCAAGCTTTGGGGACAGCAGTGTACTAACAGGTCCAAATCCCTGCCTCTGTGGAGTTTACAGTAGGTCAGGTAGTTCGACCTGGTCTTCCTCACCCAGGGAAGGGAAAGGGGGAGCAGCAGGTTGAGCTCCACTGCCTGTGTGCCAACCTTACCTTACTGGGCAGTCAACAAACATTATCTCAATTAAATCTTATAAAAACTACATAGGTGGCCCGAGCCAGTGTGGCTCAGTTGGTTGGAGTGTCATCCTGTAAACCAAAGGGTCACAGGTTCAATTCCCAGTCAGGACACATTCCTGGGTTATGGGCTCAGTCCCCGGTAGGGGTGTGTATGAGAAATGGCTGATTGCTGTTTCTCTCACACATCAGTGTTTCTCTCCCACCCTCTCTCCCTCCATTCCCCCTTCTAAGCATGTTATCAGGTGAGGATAAAAGTAAATAATAAAAATAAAAACTGCATATATGGGAATTATTACTTCCTCTTATACTAAAGAAACTTTAAATTACTCACTTAAAAATCACTTTTACTCTGTTAATTTAAAAATGTTTTTAATAATTTAAATTTAAAAATATTAATAATGAGATATTTGCTTCCATGGACCAGCGAAGAGATTAAAGATCTGAAGTTACCCCGGAGAGAATCTGGAAAAACCACCTAGTTTTTGCCAATGTTGCCATCATAACAGTGCTTTCATTATAGTTATGTAATAGTCCTTTTGTTTTGTTTTGTTTTTTCTGTTTGTTTATTTACATTATTTCTCTTCAGAGTCATTATTGTAAGCATGCCAAGCTTTACGGGAAGCAAATCCACCACAGGCAGCACGCGTTCTTGTACTCTGACCACCAGCGGTAGCTCTGCCTGCCTCCTGAGGTGAATTTGCTGCATTGGCACTGAAACCACTTGGTTTAACCCAACCGACTGATGTAGTTCCTGTTGTTCATGTCTCTGTGCTCCCAATTAATTTTTTCATTTTTCAAGATAGTAGAATATTCTCTCCTGGTCTGATGTACATTTTGGCTGTGCATTACTTCATTTAAAATCTTTCTTTCACTATGCCGTATACCTGAAACTAATACAAAATGTTGTTCAAAACAATATTGAATGTAAGTTGTAATTTTTAATTTAAAAAAAGTTAATCTTTCTTTTAGACTCTGATATTATTTCTTCCTTACATAGCTTTAAAATTTACACTAAGAAATACTAATTTGACTTTATTGTTTTTCTAATCGCATTATTGTCAAGACAGAGAATATGATATTTTTCTTAGAATCTTGGATGCTGAAAAATACAGTCATGGCCCTTATGGGAAGATAAATATTTTGATTTTCTCAAAAGTTTCCTTAGATTTTGTGTATCAGGCAACCACAAAATATTTTATAATCTCAATTCTTAGATAGAAAGGCTGTATTGTTCGATTTCTGAGAATGTTCATAGCTTAATAAAAAATATTTTCTGAGATGTGCAAGTCATGGAATCCTGAAAACACAGATTGCTGGTGGTGGATTTTGTTCTGTATTGTCACAGAGCTGGGAATTTTTAGATTCTTTTGCCTCATTTGATGAAGGGTATAAATTATGATAGTTGCTTCTTCCTACCCTCAGCCTTAGCAAATGTTAATTATGATGTACACTGATTTTTGATAGTTTTTTTCCTTATAGAGTAGCTGTGTATGTTTTGTGTTACTTGCTGTATACATGTAGGTGTTTAATAATATACCTGTAAGGTACTCAAGTGTTGCAAAATGTAGAAGAAACTATATGGGATCTGGATAATTAAAAGATTGTTAAGTAACACTTGTAATGAAAGAATACCAGAGAAGGTAACCAGATTTTGGCTGGGGTTGCTGTGTATCTCCAGGAAGAAGAGGAGGGTTCAGAAGACGATAGCAACACAAAGCCAGACCTCGCAGTCACTCTGAAAACCGATTTCAGTGCCCGTTGCTTTTTCAACCAATTTGAAGATGATGCTGATGGGTTTATTTCCCCGATGGATGATAAAATACCATCAAAATGCAGTCAGGACACCGGGCTTTCAAATCTGCACGCTGCTTCGATGTATGTGGTTTTGGTGGTGGTGGTAAAATGTTTGGGTGAAAATAACGTTCCTAAATATTATTTTAGTCTCTGTACTTAAATTGGCTGACAAAACACAAGTAACATACCTGGGGTACATCTGTTTGGATAACCAGTAAATTTTTTAACTTTGGCACAGTTTTTTTTATATGCTTCATCCTGTGTTACTTGAGGGAGCATCTAAGATCTTAAACAATCAGGCGGTCTCTGCAACTGGCATCGTGTAGATCTCTACTCCGTGGCTCATCACTGAACACTCACTGAGCACAGATATCATCTCTTTCTTTCAAATCAAAATATGACAAGAGCACCATGACATTTCACAAACCCAAAGAATTCAACAGAGCAGGAGCCTTACCGGAGCCCCCGAAGCCGTAGCTGTTGTCAGTGTTTTCAGGGGCCAGAACACATCCATTTCTGCGGACCCTCAGTTGCCGCAACAGTTTTTTGCATTTACGTGCTCCCCGCTGTGTCCACGACCCCTATCAAGTTGCACATTCATTACATTTAGGACAACTTAGATTTAACTCAATTTTTTTGAATTTTTTTTCTCCTCTTAGACCAGAACTCTTGGAACACCTTCAGGAAATGAGAGAAGAAAAGAAAAGGATTAGAAAGAAACTTCGTGATTTTGAAGACAATTTCTTTAGACAAAATGGAAGGTAATGCATGTGTTTTCCTTCCTTCTCCCCCTCTGCACACACGTGCTTCCTCTTGCCTGTCAGACCTGTGTGATGCCTCCCAGGCGGGATCACTCTGCATCCTCCTGCAACCAAGTCCTGGCGTTTGTGCCCAGGGCCCCTTTGAGGTGGCCGTGACATGGTACGGTTTGTGTGGTCCTTTAGAAAGAAATGCTTCTTGGGTAGTGTCCGAGGCAGATGCCGATTGAGCTAACATTTATAAACCTAACCCGTCACATCAAATTCTCATCTAAAATGAGCAGCTTGAAGCTAAGTTTCCAGCCAACAGCACTGGTTTGTTTTAGTATTTTGCCTTAAGAAACTAGAAGAATAAATAAGGAAAAGAGGACTAAATCTTGCTGGTTTTAAAGCATATTTTTAAAAATGAAGATGATAGATGTTCCCTGTGAACAAAAAATATACAGGAAGCAATAAATCCACCTGATTAATAGGGTACTTTTCTCTGGTGAGTTTTAAGGCACAATGGAGTCCTTATATAACATTATGCTAAGAAATTGTCTTCTGTGTTCTCAAGTGACTGCACGCAGAATGTCTGGCTCAAGCCACAGCAGGACACAAGGACAGAGCAGGGAACAGATTTGCGTTTCTTACTCTGGAGTTAAGTTTTATCATTTTCAATTGATTTTATTTTGATCCAAATTATCTAAGCAGTGTAAATATAGTTTCTCATTAAGTCCCCTTTCATACTTCTCAAAAGTGTTAGGAAATAAAAGGAGCATAAAAATTAACTCTGGCATTTAGAATGTGTTGTTTTCCAGTTTATTTCAATTAATGTATTCACTTATTTTTAGGATCTCTGATATAAATTTGTCCGGTAATGACTTTCTCAAGATTTATAAATTTCAGACTTAAATATTTGCTCTTCTTTCTTCATGTGTTATAAGATACCTAGAAAATACAGGTAGGCAAATAAAAGAAATCATACCCAAAATAATACTACTACCCAAAGACAAACTAAGACTGTTTTGACTCAGTCTTCTTTCTAGGCATATTTTTGGTTCATCTGTTTATCTTTTTTCTTTTCATATAATTATATTCACATTATGTACAGACCTGTACATGAGTAACTATACATCATTCCATAAACTTAACAAGTATTCAGAAAGTATAATTGATGGGGATTAATAATCACCAAAGTTTAACTTCAGACGTCATAAAATCTATCTGCCTTCGTCATTTGTATTTGAGGAGAGTGAAGCCCTAAGAGGGGCGCGGCCGGGGTGCCCCCCGATACCCCACCCCCAGCCCCTCTCCCACCATGTTCCCTTCACTGACCTGTGCCAAAACACAACCTAGAATCATTTCCTTGAACAAGGCAGGGCAGGAATAAATAAGTTTATTTATTTTAGTTTATTTAACAAAATAAAATAAAACCATGCTATTGCCTTTCCCATATTAATTATTTGATAAGAAGGAAAGGAAGTCCTGTATCTGAATGTTTACATGTGCGTTTCAAAGTGAACCGAGAAGCAGGACAGCGCCGCCTCATGGCGGGCAGCAGCTTTGCAGTGGGGCTGCCTTCCGACCCGCTTTCAGCCTGTATGGAATGTGGGCGACGGGACCCGCACTGACGTCATCCTCATGGTTACATTACATTGTAGAGACAGATCCACTTAGCATAGTGCCTTACTTACAATAAGCACTCCATTAATGCTTGTGCTTATAAAAAGAATGCATATAAAATTACTCAGTAAACTGTAAAGGCTTACTAGTATTTATTATATGATTCAATTGTTGAATTCCAAGACTAATTTTACAATAATTAGAAGTGTTAACTATCTGTTTTTAAAAACCTGTAAATTATGGTGTACCAATTGCTGATTAGAAATTTAAAGGTTCATTTGATAATATATATAAAAGTGAGAAAACATTAAGTGTAAATGATTTCAGTGTATGGAGGCTCTTAATGTGAATTTCTGCTTTAGAGAGAAGTTCCTACATTTCTTAGTCCTTCATATCATTCTACAAGATGCCAGATTAACTATAAAAACTCGGTCACATAGTGCCTTTGGGGAGAAGCTGTCCTTCAATGCTTCAATGTCTAAACCCAGCTCCAGTCTTGATACCAAGTGACATTTTGGCCACACTGATTCTACAGGTTGATAAGCTGCAATGTTTCCACATGCTGATAATTCACCTGCTGAACAGTATCCTCTAGGAGACAGCCGATGATCCTCAGTCCCCTTTCCCTTTGTTTCCACTAGAAATGTCCAGAAGGAAGACCGCACTACTATGGCTGGAGAGTACAATGAATATAAGCACATCAAGGCAAAACTAAGGCTCTTGGAGGTGCTCATCAGCAAGAGACACACTGATTCCAAGTCCATGTGAGGGGCAGCCCCAGCTCAAGTGAAGGGGGCCGGCGATGCGCGGCGAATGTGCTCCCCTGGGGAGGAGCAGCTCTGCAGAAACTGGAAGGCAGCCTTAGAGCTGGACCTGCAAAGGCTGGCGCCCTTCTGCCTACAGGCCTTTGGAATCAGCTCTAGATTGAAGACGGCAACTTGTCCTGATTTAGGAAGTTTATAAGGGAAAGTCAAGATTCCTGTGCTCACGTGCCCATGCAGACACTGTAGTGGCAGCTTTACTAACACTAGCAGTGATGAGTCACTACATTGGGACACTTATCTGCAGAGATTATACACTGTTCTTCCGGGGATAACTGAGAAGGAGGAGACCATTCTCAGTCTCACTGGGATGAAAACCAGCCCGGGACTTCCTAGAGCAAACTTGCTGTGCAGGTGGCTGTACCCTTTGGACCCCGTGAAGCGGGAACGTGCATCAGAGCCCTATTTGCTGCCTCGCCCATTCCTGTGACCTTTCCAAAGAGCTGCGCCTTCCCCCAGTTGTGTGAATTGTTTCCCCGTCAGCTCTCAGGTAGATGGAAGCTGTGTCTGCCTGGAATGGCAGTGCAAACGTCTATGTGACAGTGTGTTTCTTCAAGACTTCCTCAGCGGACAAAGAATTGTGATCCCTGTACAACTGGATCACGTGCGGAGGACAGAGGGACTATAGCAGGAGCTACATTAATGCTGATTTTTATATCAGGTAACAGGGTGAACAGCCTAGAGAATTCTTTCCCGTTTATCAGTCTCAGATTTTAACATCAGACACTAAGGGAGGCCAACATGCTATGGCAACCTGTTTGGGCTCGGTTTTGTTTTGGCACTAGCCAAAGGTAAAGGCCCTTGCTGAACTCTTAGCTGAAGCGTAGTGGGGAGAGGGCTGGGGGGACAGAGAACCTGTGTTCTCAGCCATCTGAAGACTTACCAGAGTTTAATTTTTTTTTTTTTTTAAGTAAACCTGCACTAAAATCCCCTCACTGAGGGATAAATGTAGCCCTTGGAGCTCAGCCCAAGGCAGAATCTAAATCACACTATTTTCAAAGTCATGTAGGAAGAGAACAAATAATGGTGTGTAGCCAATTATGATTATAATTTTTTCAGAGACTACATCACAACGCTGTCTATATTAGACATTTTGGAGGGACCAGGGAATTTAAGACCCCAAATCATCTCTTCAGTGTGCTGACGTCACTTTGTGATCTGTTGTGTTAGTTTTTGACTTTTAATGTCTGGACTGGGGAAAGTGGGTTTTGGCTCTGCCTGTCCATCCCAGGTTCACCTTTGCGCTTTGTGAGGTCAACTAGGGTGTCTGCACACCAGCCACTGGTTGCCAGGAGAAGGCTTTTTGGCAGCTCTGCCTGTCGAAGACAATGTTGCAGGTTGATCAGGGTACCCACCTCTGTGTTGTACCTGTGTGTGTGCGTATGTGTGTGTGTTTGTGTTTTAAAAAGAAGAGGAAAAAAAACAAAATTCTACTGGCCAGTTGTTAGTTTCAAAATGGGTTCTTGAGAAACTGGTCAGATTGTATTTATAGCAGCGTTTCCATTGCTGAAGTGAGGGGGCAGCTCTGTCAGTCGCAAATTAAGTTGGGAGTCGGTGAAAAAGAACGCCTTTAAGTTTGCTCCTAAAACTGTTTATATAGAAGCATGACCAGTGTGTTAGAAGTGCCCTGGTTTAATCTACACACTTAAAGATGGTACCTAATCCTACAAATTTAAATGTATATGAAAATATAGTTTGGTATTCTCTGCTCTACTGTTTACATTGCAGATGGCTATAATTTCAAGGACTTATATTAAAAATAAAATGATGCACTTTAGGACGTTTTCTATTTTTGAAATCTGAACATTAATCATTCATATGACCAAAAATTGTATTTTTTAAGAGAAATACATGTCTAGTCTGTTCCTTGTAATTATTCTCTTAAATAAGCTGTAATATAAATCATTACCAGTTAACTTTAAAATGTACATCTGTTTAAGAGTATTGCTTTGAAAATGCTAACATGCTACAGAATTTTAAAAGAGGAAAAGCTATATAAATGAGAAGCTTCTAAATGTTTTGAAATCTATTGTTTCTGCCAAAGGTAAATTAAGTAAAAGGTTTATTCAGGAAACCACATTCAAATTTATATGATTGAATAAAAGAAAACACCAAGTTATGGTAAAATAAACTGTGTATGGAATGTTATGTTTTCCTTTGGAATTTCTAATACTCTATATACTTCATAGTTTGGCACCCAGATCCGGGTGAAGGGAAGCCCTGTTTACATGAGTAGGTCCTATCTGAAGACCCGTTAGTAGGTTCTGACTGCCAGAAATGCTGAGACGAATTTGTTTCCACAGCAACCATTTCTGCAGCCCAGGGTCTCAAGGCCCTGGAGGCAGCGTCTAACTTAATTGGCTTCACACTGAACACTCTGGACTGTGGGGTTTTTTTTCTTTGCTCTCTTGGGAATGCGTCTGTGTTTATTACCACATGCCGACAAAATAAATGTCAAGGGTTATTTCATAACAATAAGTAAAGGTAAAGCATGAATAAACTTGATTGTGTGGTTGTAAGAATTAGATATAGAAGAGGCTTATACTTTTCACAAGCATTTGCTTTTATTGCGCTTAGTGTGGAATAAACATTGAAATAGATGTTTATATGAAGTATGGTATCATTACTGCATTTCATCTTTGAATCATTTGGTTCAGATTTCACTTTTCAATCATGAGTGCACAAGGTTTAATGTGAAGGGTCTGCTTGGAAGTTTTTGAGACAACCGAAGTTTGTCCCGAGCTGTTAGAAAGCCGGCCCAGCCTGTGATCTCCCATTCAGGGAAAATTTCCATGAAAGGCCAGGTCAAATTAGAGTTCTTTCCTTTGGTTACCAGTTTGCAGCCAGGATTAGTATTGCCAAGGCATGGAACAGTGGTGTCTCTATCTGTAACATTGGTATAATTTTTGCTTTGTTTCACCCTGATGCAACATTGCATGGTGACGAGAGAATCTGTTGCAGCGTTTGTTTGCTCCCAGCAACGGCACTTCTAGCCCAGGACAAATGCATCAGGGCTGTGTTTGGGTCCTAAATGTGGCACTAAGCTGTCCGGAGGCCAGCAAGCTCAGGGCGCCTGAGGGCTGAGCATTGCTCCTGTGGTTGAGCTTGGAATTCCTAGTAAGGTGAGTATTTAGGTTTATTATGAGAATCAAGGGCTGGCCAGGGTGCCAATGAATTTGGTTCTTTCTGGGGTTGCCTGATTCTCAGCAGACAGAATTGAGCCCAGTCAAATTTTAAAGTTTGTTGCTTAGTTGTTTTTTAGTGCTTCTTAATCTGATAATGAAGATGCCATTTCTCTAAGGGTAACACCTTTCACTTTAATAATTGAATGCCATAAACTATGAACTGCTTTGTGAAAATCTGACTGTAGCCTAAATTCTGCTTTGCTTCCATGAGGGTTCTCCATGACACACTGCGTCCTGGATTTCTGCCCACAGTGGGGCAGTGGCGGTTCCGCGCCAAGCCGGGCACGGCCTTCGTGTTCTTGTTCAGTATCCACTTGGGTAAATCAACAAGGAGGGGTGGAGCTGTACTACAGTGTTGAAGCAGCGTTTCCTCAGAAGCCCATGTGTTTCACAAACCCCAGAATGTGTGTCTTCCATTCTTGTTATTCCCCTCTTATTTTTTTCCCCACTTGACCCTCAGAATATACTGAAGAATATATTTTGTCCAAAGACAGGGTGGCCAACATGGCCAACTCCCATGCTGTATATGTTGCTACCGTGTCTTTGATCATTTTCCCGATGGGAGATTGCGCTCCTGTGGGCATTGCGCATTCTTCCACCATGATCCTCTGTAATAGGTGTACGTAGTAGACAGGCTGAGATCACTTACAGATTTACACAGACATGTATATAAAATGAACTCTGTACATCCACAGCTCACATTGCTATGAAACTGCTCTAGAGATGTCTCTAAAGAATCTCATTTTGCCTGGAGTCCGGCCAATCCGGGTCACATGCATGGCTCGAGAAATCGTTTTGGCAGATCTAATTCCCCATCCAAAAGCACCTCTTCAGGCATGAAAATCTCCAAGAGTGAATACAATTTTAGTAAATGGAGCCAGAACAATGTTTACATGACACATAAGAAGAAAGCATTTGAAATTAGAGTTGTCCTTTTTCACAATTAAAATGAATGAAAAATGTTATGTACATTTTTGTACATGACTGTATTTTGTATAACTTTAAATAAAATATTTTGAACTGTGAGTGTTCTGAAATTTTTGACAGCATCAGGAACGTGTGACTGAACTGCCCGCCTGTGGGGTCCGACCTTTCCCTTCAGCAAGGAGTCAAGCTACTCCCTTGAGCTCCTCCGAGGGCTCACAAAGATTAAGTGTTTGTTGCCTGTCTCCTGGGAGGGCACCGGAAGGTGAGGCCGGCTGGGCACAAGCCAGGCATGCCTGTAGTCACCAGTGGGAAAAGGGGCTTGCGCTGTCTGTTCAGCTGCCTTTATTAAAAGAATTCACGCAAGGGGCTGACGAGGTGTAGTAAGAAAAAATAAAAGTGTAAGTACATTTTCACGGTCTGTTTTGCCATCAGAGGTAAATACATCAGCCATTTACTACTCTGAAGCTAATAAGGTCACCAGAAAACTGTGACTCCGGAGAGAAGGCACATTTCACCCTTGGAAACGGCCAGGCGCTCCCTCAGGAAAGCCTTGAACGGCCTTCAGAGCCCCCTGCCCCACCTTGCAACTAAAACACGGCGCCTCTGCAGCACTTAGGTCTGTGGGTGTCCTTTAAACTGCACACATTATAGATGCTGTATGTGACAAAAGTAAATGTTAAAAATATATTAAACCTGAATTGTTTTTTTTTAAAGTGAAGGCTTGGACTGAGGACCTGGTCCTGACACCAGGATTCAAGCCAATATCTGACGTCGAAGTACAAAGACTCATTACCACTAACAATGGTACAATTTAATGCTGTTCTGCCAAAACTGAGCAATTTCACTTTTGAAATACTGGGTCGCACATAATAAAATGGAGGCAGAAGTGACAGGCAGCATTTAACATCCCTCCATTTCCATTCATCATATTTGATGTTGCCGTTCTGAGGCCGGAAAGTGATGCTCGCCCAAGCCCACCAGGGTTTGCGGCCAGTGACAAAGCCTAGGGGTCCCCTGAAGCCCCCGGCAAAGGTTTTGCTCCTAATCCTGTAATAATGTGTGGCACTGTGGACCACCTGCACGCGAGCTTCAGAATGGAGACCTATGCATTGTGGGGCCAGAGGTGGAAGGGGAGGGGCAGTTCCTTTCAATACTTTTAAGGGCCTCATTATAACCTCTTCTAGATATGGATTCTGAATTTTTTAAGACAAAATATATCGGAGTTGTCCCTAAGCTGGCCAGCTTATCAAGCCTATAGATACACTGTAGAATTTCATATTCAGTAAAAGCCAGAAGTCAAGATTCCCAGATGCATTTTTAGAATCCTGGCTGGCAGGCAGGGAAATAGGGTTTGGCAGGAACTGGGGTTGTTGACAGTTTGGTTCTCGCCTTTCCTTCACAGCAATAAGGCTTATGCCTCAGGGTGGCTCCGTGTGGTGCTGCACCTGCCCGGGGAATGCAGCCCAAAGTGCAAGGCGCATGAGCTGAGTCTCTGAGGCCACTCAGACCTGGGTCTCAGCTGGGCCTGTGTGTATCAATTCTATGTAACTGTGAACTCTAAAACTCAAAATATTTTAGAATTTTACATTTTCCTTTAATTTGTCAAAAGCAATTCAAAGATGCTTGGAAATCCTTGTCATGCTACGGGTCCTACAGCTCTGAGTACTCCTTGATGATATATTTCGAGACATGGTGATTTTTTGTGTAACTGTTACTTTTAAAGATTTTAAAATTACTGGACAAGATTAGACAAAGGGGTAGAGAAGCAAGGGAGAGGGTGAGGGATGGATTCCTCTCTTGTAGCAAGTAGCAGTGCTTCTTCCATATGAAACAGGAATGAGTACGGGTCTTGTAGGGGACTGACAAGCTTCCAGGGGCTACTGCACTGCTGGTCCAAGGCCTCACTTTAAGTAGAAAGTGTAGACTGAATCCTGGGTTCCTGTGGAAATGAGCAGCTCTAATCGATTCAAAATCCTAAATTAACAGAGACCAGCACACCACCAACAGGCCAAATGCTTGATGCTTAAGACCCAGACTGCAGACAGATGGCTGAGCTCTACGATCTGCTTGCCTTCCTTTTTCTCCCCATCTCTGTTTATTGCAAAATGGAAACAACCACAGTACCTAGCTTAGGGGGTTATTACTCGGATGAACACAAAGTGAGCACACAATAAATCAATAAATGATGGCAGTGAGTTATTCTCAGCTTTAAGACAAAGATTCTTTCTATGCCAAAGTCTAACAAGACATTTTGAATGACTTGTTGCCGAAAAGGAGCTGTGTCTCCACCCCCATGACCTTTTGATTCTTTGTGTAAGTCAGAAGCCGACTGCACCTCCAACACGTTAAGTACAACTTGGCTCTAACAGGGTGAGTTAGGTTGTATGAGAACACCAACCCATTCTCTCGGAGGGGAGGGGAGATGAAATTGTGACTACTAATATTCTCAAGTCAACTGCATCAAAATCTCTGTGCAGCTTTCTCGGAAAGATCTATGCTGGTTATATTCCTTCCCTCACAGAGCAGGGAACAATTTCTTTAAGTCAGCTTCTCCCCCAAAACATTCTGGGAGGTCCAAATCTGCTCAGACATGTAAAAAGAATTAACTGAGCCAGCAACTGAGACTAATGCGGGAATGCCTGAGTTCTGTGGAGTAAAGGAACAAAATAACCTTTGAACTGATTTCTGGGTCAGCTGGTGTCCTAAAATTTCTGTCTCAGGGGGTATTTTTAAACAACTAAAAACAAGGCTTACCCCAGGGAGGAGAGTTGCTCGATTCTGGCAAGCTCCTAATTAGCATATTACATTTCATCAAGCCTGTGGGCAAGGCTGAGTCTAAGGGAGTACCTGTGCCCCTTATCAGCCACCGGCTGTGGGGCAGGGAAGTGGGGCAAGAAGGAGGTGGCAAACTGAAGGTGACACTGCTTCAGCCAGCTCTGAGTTCGAATGATTTCACAGTCCCATCGAATGAGGCCCTGCCCGCCATCACCTTGGAAATTCAGCAATTCTTGGTCTTTCCACGTCTGCCAGGGACTTGCACTTGAGAGCCCTTGAGCCTGCTGCACAGACGTCTGAGCTCCTGAGAACGCCCAGGCATGAAAGGTCGGGAAGCCCGTTTTTAACAACATGAAGAAGTTTTGGCGATGGCAAACCTGTCC